GTCTGTGAAAAAGTTAGAGAAAGAGAAAAAGGGAGCACCCTTGACGGACATCATTTAACGCGGGTATCCCACCTGATAGCTTACCATAGGGTTTAATACGAGTTTGAGTATTCGAATACAGAGTTATTTGTAAGAAGATTCATTTGCTAGGTGATAAGAGGTATTGTTATAAGATGTCTTGGTACACAGTCAATCATTGACTTCAGGTTTATAAATAGCTAATGCTGAGAACGAGTGAATACGTTTGTAATTGAGGATGTAGCATAGACTAAAGATATGATTAAGCCAGTTAGGACTTTTTAAGGAACCTTCTTGACTTTTTAAGTTAGATGTTTATGGAGTCCAGTTGGGCGTCAGATAATTATAAAGGGTGAATATATCTGTTGAGCTGTGATCGATTTTAAATCATTCTACATGAACTTTCTTGAATTCCACTCGCTGGAAACTCACGTGGTAGATCGATACGACTTATTGTATTCATTCGTCTGTTGTGGATAAACGTTGGGAGTGGCTGAGCAGTTCTGTGAGTACTAGTATAAATCTTGTGGATGTTCCTGTGTATTTCAATCCAGAGTGGGGTCATGGTGTCATTAATTTTAGCCTACAAGGTTAGCTGTAGAACGCTTGGAAACTCAGTTCTGTTTTACAAATATGTGTCCTGGTCATATTATTTCTTGATGTCTGGAGACTGCCAAGTGTGATATTATGTGGCTGGAGGGTGTCAATAGGAAGTTGTCTGACTGTGACACTGGGTGAGGCAGATTCGAATTTCTGGGTTGGCATCACTTTCCTTGGGGTTACAGATACACTTCACTGGTGAGTGCCAGCAGGCAGAAAAGGTAGGTGCAGTGCTTCCTGCTAATTGCTTGCAACCATCAATCAAAGTGCACTGTGATACTTAGTCTACTAGAGTAATGACCACATTACAAAATGATTGGTAGAGTTCAGTGGGCACTTGTTACTAGACAACATGAATTTGCTTTCTCTCCAGGTTACCGATTTTGCTGTGTGACTAATTCACAAAGCAGTTCGTTGTAACTAAGTTCTTGAAGTCTTCATGTAGAGCATCTGACGATGTCTTAATTCTACTTTGAATCATAGATTATCAGGTGAGCACTCAGATATGCATATAACTGCTTAAAATATGTACTTAAATATTAAAACCGGAAGTGAAATTTCCATGCAAGTGATATTCTTTTCGAAAGGTCAGGATCGAAAAACACCAAACTATCATGAACATCTAATCAAGTTCACTTACAGTTTGGACCCTATTAAGGCTATGAAAAGCAACTTAGAAAATCAAACTGCACATCCGTTGGTCATAAGATGACAGTCAAGAAGGAAATATACTCATGTTATAACTCATTAACTGCCATATTTCATTCTGCAAGATGGTAAGATAACCAAAAGTGATTTTAATTTACTTCTTTACTTTTGAATGTAGTAAGAATTCGGCAAAGCTTAGTAACCACATATTATAGTTTTAGTTACAGTCGAATTTTTCATGTTTCAATCACTGGTTTTCCGAATCTTTCTATCTAAAAAATGTTAAACAGCTCACAATTAAGTTAGCTGTGAAAATATATTGAACTGAGTCCCTTATTGGTTTGGTCGATATGAGTGTTTTCAAAAGTCTTTCAACACCCCACGGTAGGTGGCATCTCGTTGGGTTATAATAGAGACATACAGTTTAAAGGAGGATAGATAAATGTATGCATTACTGTACAGTTACTGTCAGGGATAAAAAGCTACGTTTTTTATTCTTCAATGCTGAGGAACTCAAGGAGACTGATTGTTAATGTTGGAAAGGATATGATGGTAAAGTTTTCAGTTCATCTGTTAAAGTGAGCCATACAGGTAATAGTCTTCAAAGTTGTAAAACTCGACCATAGTCAGTGCCATACATTAGAACAGTTGGACTCACTACATCTTGTTCTGATTTTTAACTGTATTCTGTAAACATTTTACAAATATTAAGTAGGGTTCTTTTATGTCCTATTATTTTACTGATGAGTATATTTTATTGAATTAAGCACACTAGTCATGCTATTTACACATTTAACGCTTTTTGTAACTTTTCCATTCCATTATATGATAGTAGATGAAGTAATGTGGTGAGCCTAGACATTATATATCCTCATGCCTGTTTCGAAGTAGAAACTTAGAAGTCTATGGAAAATTTTTATTAGGAGTAGTGATCAAATTTGTTAAATGAATGCTGAAAATTACAGTCAACTTTATTTCACTTACTCTAAACTGCAAAGGTTTTCATTTTAGCGTTTAATTTTTTCTAGGCTTCATTGTTACCAGTCTCGTAATGTAAATATTTAACCTTTGCTTCGTTGTTATCTGCAGCAACAATAGTTTTGGCTCCTAATACTAACATTTAGCACACTATTATAATTTCATGTGAGAAAGCCTGTTATCGTTTGTGAAGTGTTCTCTTATGGCCATATGTTTATATTGTCTGCCAACATACTCTTGTTTACCACTTTCATATAGCTGGGTGGTTAGTGCAGTTGGCACCTACATATTATTTGTGACTTATTGCCTTGTATATAATCATATACCACTTTATTGAATTGATTTATTATAATGCATTGTCAGTTGAGGCTTAAATCAGAATAGTGATTTTTTAAACTGTATAAATTAGTTATGTAACCTTAACTATGCTTCAATGACGTCTGCTCAGTTTTATATATATGGGTTTAGATTGGATTATATTGGGATATCTGTTTTCATGAATAGAGAAATTTCATACATACTACTCTTGCAGCTAATGATCTTGAAAAGGTGTCTAGCGACCCATCATCATCAATATCAATATAGGACCAGGCATTACTGCGTAACGGTCTGAGTTGCCACACCTCATATCAGTACATCAAGTAAAAAGGCAGTGAGATGTAAGGTGAAGATAAGGAAATTCAGTCAAAAGAAATATAAAGTACGAGAAGAAAGAAAAACGGAATGATAAAATGGTGTGAATCGACATAATGTTAAGATGAGGGTAATGTGTGTATGCACCTGCGTTACTGACATCGGTTATGAGCCATGTGATCACCTAGAGTCTCCAACCACTGGTTCCTCTTGTCGCACCGACCCCAACCACCTAGTCTGCATCGCCCGCATGGCTTAAACCAACAGTCAAAGACTTGATGCATTGGTGCCATGTTTTAGTCTGGCCACCTCGAGCCTTTTTCCAGCCTGGACCTACTTCGGCCGACATTGTGTGACGAGGCGATTGGCGACTAAGCATACGTCACATGTATCAGAGCCAACCATCTCAGTAAATGAAGGTTCATAACCTCGTCAACTGACTTACCTCTACTCCCTAAGACTATACCTGACGTCTGCGTTACTCACGTGGTGACACCACGGCATATGGCTTATACTGTGAAGGCAACGGTGGTCAAACACTTAAAGCCTTCTCATGTCTTCCACTTTCAATGGCTATTTTTCACAGTCATACAGTAGGACAGACTACTGGTGTGCAGTACACTTGACCCTTAATAGACAATCGGATATCACGGAGGCGCCATAGGTGGTGTAAGTTGGCGAAAGCCAACCGAGCCTTTTGTATCCGTGGAGAGATTTCACTGGCCACTGAGCCACCACGGCAGGGCTGATCCTACTTCCTAGGTAAGTGAAGTGGTCAACACACTCAACCACTACACTGTCTATTGTTAGCCGCGGTGGAGCACCGTTGAAGACCACTCCTGGAGCAACAATTTGCATTTGGGTGGTGAGAACCGCAACCCAAGTGAGTACTATTCCACAACAATGAAATCTAAACAATACTAGGTGTATTTGTAACAGAATATAGACTATAGTTTATAGCTTCAAAAAGCAGATATATCAATACACCTGTATGTTTTACTGTGACCACCTCCAAAGAAGTAAGTTTTAAAACACCTGTAACGCATCTTGGTGCACTGAAATCAAGTAATTAATGACTGTATCACATTCTCTACCGACTGATCTTTATGTGAAAGGAAGCGATTTCTTGTATTAATTTACTTCTATCTTCACAGAACAAGTGCAACCTATCAAGCATAAGCCTTATCTTATATTCAGTGAAGTTGATGATGTGGGAAATCAAATTTTGGAATCGCGTTGGGTAGATGTAAAGTCACCACTTGCTGAGTACGTGATAAGGCTTATACCTGGTAGGTTATACATGGTCTGTTCTTTAATCCCAAAGTTAGATGAAAAAAGGAGTAGCAAGTGAGTTTTAGCAGTCGTGATTAAATTGCATCAGAAGAAAGTTAAATGTCTGATTTAATTTTAAACTTTGTAAGATAAGAAATGTTTGCAGTCTTGATGTCGTAAGTTTGTGTTGACTATAAACGCCTTATGAAAAAGCTTATAGCTAAATTCAATATTTTTCCATATATATATATATATATATATATATATATATATATATATATATATATATATATATATATATATATATATATATATAATTTTTTATTACTAGTCCCTTGGGTTCCTAGTGGAACATAGGGCTTCAGTAGCACGTCTCCAGTGAACTCTCTTCTCTGAGATCTTTTGAACCTGGTTCCACGACAGCCCACAAGCTCTCATTTCCTCCTCGCACGACCTCCTCCATGTCACCCTCGGACGTCCAACTCGTCGCTTCCCATGGGGATTCCACTCGAGCAACTGGCCTGAAGCGTGATGTCCTCAGTCGGCCTTCTCAGTGCATGCCCAATCCATCTCCACTTCCTTCTGCATATTTGTTGGGTGATAGGTCGTTGGTTGGTTCGTTGCGAGCCAGCCAGCCAGCCAGAGTTCCTTGTTGCTTATTCTTTCTGACCATCTGAGCCTCAGTAACCCTTTCTTTATAGTAAACCACTAATAGTAGCGTGTGTATAATATGTTTTTATCTTTTCATAGGAAATTATATCCGAGTAACTATTTGAAATATTTTTTTAAAATGCTATTTTCTGCACTGAAAAAGAACTTATTTTAACCTAACTTGTACGTTTTTGTTTCAGGTACTCGATAGTGGTCGTATATGCATTTTAGATGTTGAACTAGAAGGTGTCAAAAGTATCCGTGCAGTTCAACCACCTTTAAATGCTCAATACATCCTTATTCGTCCACCTTCTATTGAAGATTTAGAAAGACGATTACGTGATCGTGGAACAGAAACTGAAGAAACATTATCTAAACGACTTGATAGAGCTCGTAAAGATATTGAATTTTCTGAAACTGAAGAAGGTAAAAAATTATATACGAAAATTATTATTAACGATAATCTTGAGACTGCATATAAACAATTAGAAGATTTTCTTCTTCCATCTATTAAATCTGTTAAAAGTTTACAATAATTATAAAGCCTTTAAATAATTTAACATGATCACTTCATATTATCTCTTGTTGTCTATGCATAGATAATTTCATAATTGTAGATAAATGGCAGCATTTCCCTTCTCTGTGTATTTCAATATGATTATTTTACACTTTCAGCTGTATAGAGAGTGATCAGTGTATTTTCTTAGCCTTGAAACTGTTTATTTACATTACTTACCTATTAGTTAAAGAGTTATAACATTTTTTTTAAAAAAAAATCTTACTATACTATACGCTAACCGTCGTTTACAATGCCCTGTCGTAAATTTAAATATATTCTATATTTTAGAGAAGTTGTATTTTAGTATCTTGCTTTCTTATGTTATGCTATGTTGTTGTGTACGAATGAGTATTTATTATTTATCATTTAGTATGTTATTGAATAACTAATCATGTAATTGTGACTAATCCCCGCCCTCCTCCTCCACCCCCCGCATCCTTATTTTGGTTTTCTTATATCATCTAATTAGTAAGTTGAATAATATGATTTCTTGGGTAAAAAGAATTATTTTACGATTTATCTAGTGAATAAACTTATTCATAGTTATGTAGTGGGTGTTACTGATGAGAATGGATATAAGTAGCATATGTTAAGAGGGTGGCAGAAATTATAGGGAACTACCAGCAATGGGTAAAGGTTCTGCTCAAAGAAAAGCAAGATACAATGTGGGCGTATTAAGAATAAATTAAGATAGAAGCAGAAGAGGAAATGATGACTACTGTCTTGTCGTTGCCAATAATTATACTCTACCATAGTTAATGAATTATATCTTTTTATAACTCAATGAAAATTACTCATCAGATAAGCATTTCACTTCAGTCATTGTTAGTTCACAGGCTACTTGATATAAATATCATCAACTGATATCAATCAACTTGATTAAAAGATTGGTAATATCGATGTTTTTTGCGTTCATTGAAGTAATTGGTTTATTTTCATTGCTGTTAGTGTCATTAAAGGTGATAACTTCAACGCACAACTCAAAAGCCCATAGATAGTACTATTTATCATCGATTGACCTAACCTCAATACAACAGATTTCTGAAATTCTATTCTTATGACTAGAATACACTATTTTCCCATTTTGAACAGTTTAAATCAAGGATGAAAATCAGTTAATCTTTTTATAGACTAATGTATATACTTACACTTCGATATATTGTTTGAGTGTGCCTAAGAGATTGTGTTATTTAGATCTGTATTGCGTTGAATTTTGACTCGGTTATCTGTTAATATTTTTAACAAAAAGATGGTAACTAAACACGTCTGTTGTCGTATTGAGAAAATTATTCGACGAATTACAGATCTGAAGAGATACCTTGAGAGATTGCACAATGATTTAGCACTACATGAGGATGCAAAACAAGATGAGTAGTTTCATTTTAGTTGGTTTATCAAATGTTCCGGGCACAATCAATTGTATCCAGTCATATTAAGATAACTCCACAACCATCAAAATCTCAAATTGCTCTGAATATCGGTAACTCTACAACTTTGAGAGACAGTTGATATCACATGGACAGTAGAATTTCCTATATATCTAGAACAGATGCGAGTCATTCCTACAGCATGAATTTGGTGCTGGCTGGATAAACGAAGATTGGGTTATCAATCTTCCCCTCTACACAATTAGGTTAGGTGTTACGGCCATTCCTTTGTCCCATAATATTGTGTGTATAGGTAAAACAGAGTTTTTCTCTATTTCTTTTTTTCAAACTTACCGGGATCTAATAATCTTAATATAGTGAGGATTTTGTGAAGGACAGTCTAATTTAATTACGTTGACTGCTTTAACCTCAGAATCACTTCAAACATCCGGCAAACTAAATAGAATTTTGCATGACTCGATCGGTACTATCAGTTAACCTCTAAATCTTGTTTCTAAGTCAGTATCTAGGCTTAAGAACAACTCTAAACCCAACGTTTTTGAGAATACTAGGGAATATCTTTGAAGTATCTTTCTTGTACAATCACATGGGATATGTGGTTCAGACTAGAAGTAAACTTTTTCAATGATTGACGACATTTCTCGATTTTACTAACCGAAAGCTTTTCTCAGATCCCTTCTGTTGCAGCCATCATGGTATATTAGATCCAGTCAATAATTAAAAGGCTATACTGGTCAAATTAATACTGTCTTACAATACTATCCGTCTTCTGTAATTGTGTTTCACAAGCGTATGGAGAAATGCTAATTTTTTTTAAAGTGTTGTATGAACGTTAGGTGATCGTGTATCGCGGTGATATGCATTAGCTCTTCACACTTTTGTCACCATTATTATTAGTTTGGGAAAAAAGATGGTATACTAAACGGAACAGTCCGATGTATGACACTATAAGCTTTTGAAGATAAAACCTCAACACTTGGAGTATAGCATGATTTTTTTTATTGGCTTAAATCAATCAACTATGTTGTTTAGTACCAAGCGTAACTATTCAACAACCTCCAATTCGCATCAACGTAACATGTATTTCTGTATACTGCCAATATTACAAACTTTAGAACTCCTAGTTATCAAATAATACATTTGGGGTTGGAGAAACAGTGAAAACCTGGGAATACTGGACAGCCGTCCCGTTCTAATATGGGACTCCTTAGCAGTGCGCACCCATGCCCACCCCTTAGGGCTGTAACCCAGGACCTTCAGGCTCTGCGACCAGCATATTACTATTGAACCACTAGGTCCATATTTCCTACTTCTCTCAGTTCATGATATAGCGTGACCTACATCCAGTACTCTCGTTGAGTGACTGTCCTCACATCCGACATGGTTACCCAACTAGTCACGACTTCTGAGTAGAACTTCGGGAATCACCTCTCGAAGCAAGTCAGTAATTAGGATGAGAATAATTCCATTTGGAGATTTTACGGTTTTATTTATTGGCGAAATCATATAAAGAGTCGTGACTGATTATTAATACTTATTTATGCGATCGGTTTACTCTTTGTGCAGATCGGGTTTGCAGTAGCCTACCCAATCTTAACTTCTCAGCTTGCACGTATCACTTAAACTATTTCTGTAGAATAAGATATATAGGGCGTACGATTTGAGCAGTTGCGTCTCCGATACGAAACCATTTACCCCCTTGGTTCGGAAAGAACTAAGTGAAAGTTGTAAAAAGTTCCATCCTAGCTCATCTAGTAGGTGCAGGGCATCACATAGATGCCAATCAGGGTTTCGATATTATGGCATCATATTACAAAAACAATACCACATGTAGCTAGCTCATCGATGCCTGCTCAACATAGCTGAGACTGTCACCATAGGCTGATCAAACCTAAACTGTGCATTCACAAAGATCATGTTCAAACTATATTCCTCTCTTGGCCTTCAGTAAACCAAAGCACACTCCTGTCTTCGTTATCTTTTTCGTTCACCATCACATTATTCATTTGTATATATGTCAAAACTATGAATGACTTCAAGGTAATTTATGTATCACATTCCATACTTATGCACCAGTTATTATTTTTCCCTTGAGTTCCTAGTGGAACATAGAGCTTCAGTAGCACGCCTTCATTGCACTCTGTGCCCTGCAGTCTTTTGAACCTGGCGCTACGACTGCCCACAAGCTTTCATTTTTTCCTCCCATGACCTCCTCCATGTCACCATCGTCCAACTCGTCGTTTCCCATTTGGATTCCACTCGATGGCCTGGCACATGATTTCCCCAGTCGGTCTTCTTAGTGTATGCCCAATCCATCTCCACTTCCTTCTGCATAGTTGTTGGGTGATAGGTTCTTGGTTGGTTCGTTGCCAGCTAACCAATCAGAGTTCCTTGTTGCTTATTCTGATGATTTTGGCCATCTGGTCGATCTTCGGTATCGAGTGTAGGCAGCTGTTGATGAATGTCTGTAGTTTGTTGGAAGTGCTTTTCGTGACATGCCAAGTTTCTGAACCATATAGCACCACTGACTTGACAGTGGTGTTGAGAATCCGGATCTTGTTCACGCTTTATGCTGAGTGGAGTGCAGTAGATCTCCACACTGGTTTCAGATTAATGAAAGCCTGTCTTGCTTTTCCGAGCCTGGTTTTGATAACCTCATCCGTGCCAGCTGTAGTTGAAATGATGCTGCCTAGAAGGTAGGTAGGTGGAAGAGACTACTTCCTTTAGGTTCTCCCGTTAATGGTGATTGGTGCTTGTTGTTGATGCTGTTGTTGGTTGGATATCTTCATCACCTCTGTCTTCTCTACATTCACTTGAAGTCCCATTTTCGCTGCTTCTTCTGTCAACTTGCTAGTTTTCGCCTGTAGATCTTCGAGTTTGTACGACACTAAACATAAATCGTCTGCGAAATCCAAATCTTCTTCTGGGTCTTTTCATCGGTCCAGCGTATCCCCCTCTTCTCATTCCTCACTGTTTGTTGCATGATCCAATCCACCACAATCAGGAGGATCATCGGTGATAATAGGCGGCAACGTTATCTTACCCCTGTCTTTACATTAATACACTTGATTAAACTTGAACTTTTGATTATCTGCTAAAGACACCAGATAAGGTGACATTGCCTCAGTTTTCTCTACTAAATTTGGTGTTTTTGTTTGATAGAAACCTAATTTCACAGCCTACTGTCAATTGATACATAACATCTAACGTGGAGAATACATGTATTGGTAACTCTTGAATGTTTGCTTCAACTATGAGTGAAGTGATGAAATCTTATAGTTACAGTAAACACATGAATAAAGAGGATTTATATTGACGATTGACTAACTGTTTGTACTAGAAGCTGATCAAAATCTTCTCTTATGCTTATCATGAGTTAAAGATAACTACATAGATGAAATAATAAACAAATCTATCAATGTTTATATGCTAAGTAGATGACAAAGTGATATGATATGCACATAAAAGCGTGTAATTATACAGTTTAAGAAACAACGAAGAATACATTGACAATTTAGTGCAAAACAAGTTAACCTCAACTCTTATTTATGCTTAATTAAGTAAGGTTTCTTAAATCTACTTTCCTATTCTGTCAATAATGACTAGCTTCGAGAAGTGATTCCCGAAGTTCCAATGAAAAGTCGTGACTAGTGGAGTCGAACATTAGGACAGTTACTCAACGACGACAGTGAATGTAGGTCGCGCTGTATCGTGAACTGACAGAGGTAAAAAAAATACGCACTTTTAGATTCCGACCCAGTGACTCAATGGTAATGTGCTGGTCATGGGACCTGGATCTCCTGGTTTCGATCCCTGGCGATGGAGGGTCGTGGGTGCACACTGCTGAGGATTCCCATACGAAGATGAGACAACTGTCCAGTGCTCCCAAGTTTCTAATGTTCCTCCAGCCGACATCAGTTCATAATGAATTCCACTCTAAAATCAATAATGAAAATAGTTAGCCATATCGAAAGAGAAAACAAAGATCATTGTAATTATCATCATCGAATGAATGAACTATTTCCAAGTTAAGTTACATAAATTTTACCAAATATTTGGTTCTTCGGCTTACAGAAGTGCAGTCATTTAATGCTGGTTCATAAACAAAAATTGATTTCGATTGTAGGTGTGTTTATTTACCTTCGAGGAAAGTAAATG